TTGTAAATAGCTGAAGTATATATTACTTGTCAAAAATTATGTTTTTTGTATTTATGAATACAAAATTATTTGTAAAAAATGAAGTTTGACTATTTATATTATTTATTTTTACTTTTTAAGCGTAAAAGATAATTAAAAACATAACATAAATTTTTCACAAAATTTTTGTTCTGTAAAATACATTTAATTTTATTTATATTATATACATAAGTAAGGTTAAAAACAAATCTATAATCAAAATTTGATTATAGAGAATTATTTAAAGAAAAAGAAGTTATATAAACTTTAGAAAAATGTTATGTTATAATGGAAAACTTAGTTTTTTCTGTTTTATATTCGCTGGTTTAATCGCGATTTTATCAGAAATATTACTAAGGTTAGAATTTGATATTTTTCGAACATATTTCAATAATATTTGGCTTATGCATTTATTTCAATATGGATTCTTAAATATATTTTTACTTCTTGTATTTTATGGTTTCTCTTATCAGGTATTTTAAATATGTTATTATAAATTATATGAATTATTATAAATTATTATTATTACTAGTATAAAGCACTAAATATTTATATTTAATAGGTTGCTGTAAGAGCCGTATTTTTAGGATATGGATTTGGAATTGGAATTATATTGTTTTTTGTTGCACCACCTTCATGGCAGATGTTTGGAGTATATGTTACAGTTCTAGCAACATTTCATTATACAGAATTTTTAAGTATTGCTTGGATAAATCCATCTTCACTTTCTATCGATAGTTTCATTTTAAATCACAGTATAGCTTATGGAGTGGCAGCATGCTGTAGTTGGATAGAATTTATTATAGAAAGATTATATTTTCCTGGGATGAAAGAAGCTTCCTTCATATCATACTTTGGATTAGTACTATGCATTTGTGGAGAGTTTTTGAGAAAGCTGGCAATGTTTACTGCCAAACATAATTTCAATCATATTGTGCAAAGTGAAAAAATGGACAATCATGAATTAATTACCTATGGAGTTTATAAAATTTGTAGACATCCTAGTTATGTAGGCTGGTTTTATTGGTCTATAGGAACACAGGTAATTTAATTTTATATTATATTTATAATTTCACAATATAATTTTACAATATAATTTTACAATATTTTATTAAAAATATTATTTTATTAAAATACAAACATATAACTTTTATGTATTTGTTTTTATAGTTAATACTTCAGAATCCATTTTGTCTCTTTGCATACACTGTGACATCTTGGAAATTCTTCCATGATCGTATTTTAATTGAAGAAGTCACTCTGCTTAATTTTTTTGGACAAGATTATGTAGAATACCAAAAAGAAGTTAGTACGGGACTACCTTTTATATCTGGTTATAAATTGGATTTATAGCAGCCAATATATGTTTGAAATATTGTGATTGTTTTAATTTCTCAGGAATAATCATATCATTATTTATATTAATATTCTTTTTTATTGTATCATAAACAATAACAAAAAATTAAGAAAAGTTTTTAACAAAATTATATTTATTGTCTCATTTCATTTTGAAGAATTATTCATATAACAATAGACTATACTTTCATATATGATTACTTTCAGTTGATTCAGATTATACACTTATTTGTATATTTACTTATTATAATATGTGTATATATACATATGTATGAAATGTAGTAGATAATAAATATGTATAATGTTGCAGTTAATACTTGCATTGACTTGACTTGACTTAAAGCATTCAAATCGAATAATAAGAAAAAAAATTCCAGTGATTTCAGCAATATTACAATAATTTCATTATGTCTGTACATGATCATTTACAAATCTTAATACTGACAAAACTTTTTATCATATTAATTAATTCTGTTTGAATATTTTTATCTATTTATTATCTTATCTTAAAATCAAAAAATAGATTGAAATGAGAATATATATTATTATTTAAAATAAAATAAAAAATTTTATGTTGTGGATCAGAATTAAATCACATTAGAATTATATTATCACATTTTGTTTGTTTTACAAATTTAAAAAACGTTTTAAAAATTGATATTTTTTATGTAAAACAATTTGCATTTGTTAATTGATAATTTAATAAGCGGTCACATAAAAAAAAAACGAAACGATAATATATTGTTATAACTTTTGATAATTAAATAAATAATAACGATTTGTAAATATATTTTGTCATATTATTCATTCCATATCTATTTCTTTTTCTTAACAATATTATCGATAATACGATATTTTCTTTGAGAAATAACGGTTATATAGAATGAAAGAAAATGTCAAGGTTCGGGAGACTAATTATAATTATTTACACATATTTATCGTATTTTGTTAAATACAAATTTCCTTAGAACTAGCAACATATCATACTAGCACCGTATTTTAACTATGCAAATATTTGTAAATAATTTTTCTTCATTAATATCACATAAATGGAGATCGAAATGTTTTGATAAAAAAACAATTCTTATAGCTATTAAACAATCAATAATAGAGCCTATATTTAGTCCAGATAAACATTGACAAAAATTTCATTCTAAAACATAAGTTATTTTTTACAATTTTTTGTATATTGAAGGCATTGATTTATTATTATATCTAGGCCTTCTCATTTTCAATTCAAAGATAATATTCAACTAGAATCATAATTAGAGTTTGCTAATATATAATTAACATATATTAAAGACTGAAAAATGCCTATAAAAAATGAATCAGACAATGGCAGTGAAAACTTATATGAGATATAATATAATATTATTCACAGTCATCTTAACGTTCATTTTATTTTTTTTTCAATGTGAAAATTAATTAATTTAAAAAAATATTATTGTCGAGTAAAAAATAAATTTAAGAAAAAAGAAAAAGAAATCTAGCTTATTTTAAAACAAAAATTTGTATAAAATATAATTATAAATTGTTATCAGAAATGTAATTTATATATGTACAGATAGAAATCTATTTATATAACATTTATCGCACTTACTTTCACAATGGAAAATATTTAAATTGTCTTTTATCGTAAATAAACTTTTTCATATCTTTATGAAATCCAAATCTTATTGAAAGTCTATTGCTTAAATAATTATAATAATAAAAAAAAAAGAAATCAAAGAAAAGAAAATTGTTATTTAAAATCAATAATTTTTATTGTAAAATATTATTAATTTATCTTGCCTTCAACGTTAATAAAGTAATAAATAATTTACAAATTTAATCTTTCAATTAATTTCCACGAATTATAATTGAATACGTAATTCTTCGTTATAAAATGCGCTATTAATGAAAAAATACGTACTCATTTGAAAAATAACATTTAACTTAGTATACATTTCAAAATGTCTATGCATAATATTGTAAAAAATACGCTTTGTTCTCTTATATCTATGATAAAAGCGAGCAAATTTTGAAATAAAATTAACAACGAATAATGTTTGATATTATAAGCAGCTAAATTGGCCGCTGGTTTTGGGTGGATTATATTAACAGGAGGTGGAGGAACGAATGCATCGAACATATCAGTGTCTGCATTAGTAAATACCAAAGAAGAAGGAATCCATCTTGCTCTAAACAGCGTGAAACATTTCATTTTATATAATTTTTATAATCTTCTTCTTAACATAATAATAATCAAAAAATAATTCAATCATTTACCTAGTACATGGTGAAACATTTTTTCCTCTTATAGCTTTGTCTCCGATATCTATGGCTCCAGAATCTTGCACTTCCATAGTATAAATGCAACCAGAAAATCCTTCTTGATATTTTCCGTAAGTCATAGCATAATCAGGTACTCCTCCCAAGTATACATTACCTCTGGTGTTTAAATCTTGTTGTGTTCCATAACTAGTACTACTTTCCATATGTTCACCATTTAATTCAATACTACCGTCGCTTCCTTGGCGTTTTAAAATTATTCTATGTCTTTCTCCATCATCTACTTTCTGTGCAGTGACACGAATCACTACTGGACCTGTTCCTAAATCATACTGATATTCTACATAGCTGAAAAAATAATAAATTAAATATTAATTTTAAAATCAGAAATGTAATAGTTTTTGCTTAAGTGATTATAGTATTTATATTATAGTATATATAGTATTTATTTAAAAATGAATATTATTAATTACCCATCAACCACAGCAAGAGCCATATAGTGATCAGGATTCAAATTGCTTGGCATCTGTCCATGCCACATAATCAATCCCCTAGTCTTATTCGTCGAAATTTCAAAACCTAATACTTCGCGCTCTTCTTCATGTATCATTACATTCTTATCCAACTCTAACCAGCCATCTCCTTTGAATGCAACGTCATATGTTATTTCTGCGACTAGAAATGAAATGTAAAATATAAAATATTGGTCATATGATAAAATATATTTTATATTGAATTTTCTGAAGCAATTACGTTTTTCACAATTTTGTCCATTATAACCCAGTTGACAATCGCATTTGTAAGATCCATGAAGATCTGTACACGTGCCTCCATTTCTACAGGGAAGAAGTAGCTCACATTGTTTTAGAATGTTTTCACAGTTTCTGCCTACATAGCCATATTCACAAGTGCAAGAATAGTCATAAGAATCAGTATTCTGACATATTCCATGAATGCAAGGATTCGAGGCACACGGATTATAAGGAGTTGTAGATGATGTTGTAGTGATTACAGTAGTTATTTTGATTTGATTAGGATGCAAAACGTTACAATCATCTATATTTGCTGAGTCTATAGCTGATTTTAGTATGTCTATATTTACCGAAGAAACTCCAAGCTGAGAACATAATAGAATATATTTTAATTAAATAGTTTCTTCATTTTTTAAAAATTTTCATAATGAACTTACATCACTGATGCAACCTCGAAAAGTTTTATTTACACCAGTATTTTTGTTTATTGTGATTTTTCTGCGATCAACACCTCCAATATAGAGGGGTGTATTAAGTGTCATAATGCGATCACTTCCTGGAGATTTGCCTATTACTGTAGGTTCTCCATTCACAGTCAAATTTCCTTCTTTGAAGTCTCTATTTATAGATACATGCGTCCATACACCTGGCTGAAGGATATGATTTGACGTAATGATTGCAGGACCAGAACCAATGTCGTACCGGAACTCGACGCGTTTTTCCTTGATTACTAGTGCCACAAAGTCTCCTAGTCCTTCGTCACTTTGAGCACAATACATCAGGATGCCGTCCTCGTTATCCAGAGGATTAAAGTTCAAAGCCACTTTTAACCTACGATAACATTGAAATTATTAAAATAATTGTTCTAGTTTGATATTAGATGTACATAGAAATTAATTCCTGTTAGTGAGAGAAAAGTATTAAAGTTAATGGAAAAGCCATGAAAAAATATGAAAAGGCAAATTCCTTTGTATTGTGTAACTTACCTCCTTGATGTTCATAAACTATGGAGATGGGTAATCAGCAAAATGAATATATAATTCGGTAAAAATCCTGTTAAATCAATTTTTATTTGCATCTCAAGACATATATTTATACTTATAGCATCGTTCGAAGCCCGTCGAATACATATAAACGGTCATTCTGGCCCTAGAAACACACCACTTATGGCACATATACCAAATAGGTTTTTACAAAATAAGTACAAACATTTTAAGATGTGCCTGATTTGAGGTGTGTGTGTGTTGCGTGTGTGCTTAATACACAAGTCAATGCCACAACACTAATAATTGTTTTAATAAGCTCTTGATATTACTGTAAAATGCAATTCTCGTTTGGCAGTGACCTTATTAATGGTTTATTTTAAACAATAATTAAAATAACTAATACAATGCGTTAAAATATACTATTTAAGAAGCTGTACAGAGAACTCTTTACGGTCCAATCAGGCAATAATCTAAAAGCTATCTTAATAAAAAGAGAGCTTTCTTTAATAATAAAAAATTTTTATGATATTGTTACTATAAAAAAGATTAATTGGATCCGTAAAAAGTTAATATATGAGAATAACGTAAATATATTGATATTCTAATATTACAGCACCATGAGGTTCATTCCAAGGAACTACTCACTATACAGGCTTCAACATAATTATCTATGATACGTATGAGGCAGACACAAAGAAAAAATCTAATTGTAAATAAAATTCTCATAAAAAAAATATATATAATATACATATATGCTGACTGACAACTATAAATAGCAGTTAATGTTTTCTATAAACATTTAATAATAATAAATGACTTTTCCTTCTTTTTTCTTTTTCTATCATTATGTGCATCGAAAAAATTTGATTGTGAAAAAAGGACTAATGTTTCGTGTGGTGCAGCTTATTGTGGTGATGTGGCCTTGATCGTGGCTTTCTAACTTGTGCGTTGCGTGCTCTTAATCGACCGTATGTTTTGATCGGGTTCATTCTCGCCCTGAAAATCATTGTTTTAATTAAGATCAAAATTCCTTTTCAATTGAACAAGTTAATGTGCGCCT